CAATATAATAAAACAAATTAAATTAAAAAATAATATTAAAATAGATTATTCAAAATGAGAAAAAATTGGGCAACATAGTAGAAATAATATTTTTTTCAATTTGCAAATTTATTTTTGTTAAACAATTCACTTTTAGTTCTACTCACTGAAATTTAAAGTACAGAATGTATTGCTTGCAATGTATGTAGACAGCCTAGGTTCAGGGGTTTGTAGATAATACATCCCCCTTGCTTATATTACAGTTTAGAGAGGCTATTGTTTCAATGCACTGAAAATTCTCAGCAAGTCTTAAGACTTATTTTAAAAACAGGCAAAGAAAATAGAGCATTTAGTTATGCAGAAATTTTATAGATTCCTATATCCATTTCTGGAAGTAAAGGCCTTTTTAAAAAGAGATTGGTTCTGAGTTGGAAAGGAAATTAAAGGGTGTGGGTGTGTGGGTGTATTTGGTTCTCAGTTTTTTTCCAGCAAGGATTTATTTCATAGAGGAATTTTTTGCATTAAGGTAAAGGTCACTTCCTTGTGAGATGGGTGGTGTCCAAATTTGAAATATAAATATCAATAAATCAATAAATTTCCAGTATTGATTCTGTAGGGTCCAACAAATAGGATGTGCTTTGCAGGAAAAGAGGAACTGGGCAGCCTGTTGAGGAGCAGCCCTGATGGGGAACACCTCCAATTATGTGCGCATACAGCAAAGATCAAATGAAGGCTTCAGGTAGAGCTATGTGCCTACCAGCATGTTTGCTTTTATCTGGAAAAAGGAGCTGTCAGGTTAGGAGCAAGTAACACAAGGACAAGTAGATAATCAAAAGCTCTCAACAGAGTAAACAGTGCAAAGCAAAGATATAAACTAGATCAGCCTCTCCTTTTTTTTCCTCTTTCTCTCTCACACATACACACCCATTTAAAGCGCAAGAAAGAAGAAGAAGAAATTCAAGGAGTTCCAGTAAACTTTATAAACTCCACACTTACAAAGCTCTCAAATGTGACAGGCCCCTGGGTAAAATATATAAGTTGAGCTATTTGTGCATCAGAAGAAGCACACAAAAAATCTTACTTATTTGAATACAGGGCACTGTTTTTGTGTTTGATAATACTACTGTTCCCACCAACCTAAACCAGAAACTCTACCTATACTGATGTTTATATACAGATAGTCCTCGATTTACAACCACAGTAGGGACCACAAAATTCGTTAAGCAATGTGGTCCTTAAGCGAGGCATCACATGACCACACCCAATTTTACAACATTTTTTGCAGTGCTCATTAAGCAAATCATGCAGTCATTAAGTGAATCACACTGTTCCCTGTTGATTTTACTTGTCGAAAGCCAGCTGGGAAGGTCACAACTGGTGATCACATGACCCTGGGACACTGCAACCATTGTAAACACATGCCAGTTGCCAAGTGCCCAAATTCTGAACATGTGACCGGGGATGCTGTGATGGTCGTAAGTGCAAGGACTGATCTTAAGTCACTTTTTTCAGCTCTGTTGTAACTTCGAACGGTCGCTAAATGAATGGTTGTAAGTCATGGACTACCTGTAAGAACTTTGCAATTCACAGCCTTAACACAAACAGAAGCACAAACATATTGGAGAAGCATCTAATAAAGTACAGAGACAAACTTAAGCCAAGACAAGCGAAGTCTCATTAATTAAGGTGAGGGTCTTAACCACCATTTGCATCCAACAAAGGTTCCTCTACAGTGGGAGATGAAAGAGGTCAGCTGCCTACTGTGAATCCAAGTGCTTGAAACATGCAACAAGGGGCTTTTCATTTCATTTGCATGAATGAATTCTCCTATTGAGGGAGGGGTTTTTTTCCAACAAGCTGAAATACTCCAGTTCCCCGGCTAAGACTGTTTGTTCATAGCTTCAGTAACAGAGCACAGAAAATGTTTAGAGAATGCAAAGAGCATCCTACAACATCTACTATGGGTGCACTTTGCTATCCAGGTGTCAGAGTTCTCCACACTTTCATCCATCACTTCTAGAAACCTTTGGAAATTTGCTGTCATTATGGACCGTATAAATGGACAACCTTGTTGATAAATATTACACTATTTTTCAATAAGTATTACATTATACACTTGGGACTATGCTTTGTCTCAAATCAGCCATAAGACCACTTCAAGATCAATCACTATCCTATTGTCCAGCTCACAGAGGAGTTGTGATGGGAACACGGAATACCATTCTCAAGTGTGTGGGGGCTATAAGACAAGATATAAACCAACTTTTTAAAAAATCAGCTAGTCTAAAAGACAAGCTAAAGCCTAAATCTGCTCTTCATCCTACTTGCCCTACATTTCAGTACTATTTCTAAACTTTCTGACATCCAGAAGTCTTGCAGCACTTTCATACAACATAGTTTTTTGAGGATCACACTCTACATCCACCAGTGTTTACACGACAATAAGTGTGTTCTAGGACTCTTGGTCACACTTGGACCCAAGATCTCCTTGGATACAGTTTTTACCGTACCAGTGAGGTATACAGATAGTCCCCAGTTTAAGAACAAGTTCCATTCCCTAGGTCTGTCCTTAAGTCAAATTTGTATGTAAGCCAGAACAGTATTATTGTATAATACTACATAAGTAGTATTGTGTAATGAACTCAAACCATTGTGTATTTAACTTGAATCATTGTGGATTTAACTCAAATTTTGCTACAACAGGCTTCATTCTTAACTATGGGTTGTCTGTAACCTAGGTGTCCTTAATCTGGGGACCACTTGTACTCATATACTTTCCACCTTTTAGTCACATTTCCCAAAAAAATGTCTCAAAAAAGACCAACATGTGTGCAGAGATGGCTCTGATGGGCAGATATACCCAGAACAGTGTTTTCCAAGGAGGGTATTTAATGTGCCAGGATGGCTGAGCCAGACGAGGACTGGCTGCAATGTATAAGTGGGGAATTTCAGCAACCTTTTTGTAAATTGTCCTTCCTCGTCTACATTGCTGTAGAAATAGCATCATCTTGATCTATGGGACTTCATCACTCTCTTACTGTGATTCTGGGCGGCTTAATAGTTTTGTTTTACTTGTTCTACAAGTAGCACATCTTTTTGCAAGCAACTGAATGTAACATATGCAGAAGTTTATGTGTTTCTGACAGTGAGAGAGGAAGCTGCAAAGAGTGTTAAATAACTTGATTTATATGCCAGCTGAATCAAGACAAGAATCCACAGGCAGAAAACAATTTGCTCTTCAGATTCACTATAGCTGTCGGATTTGTTTTGGTGTGATATCTGATCCAGGGTAAGAAAAAAACGTATGTCTAGACAGTACAGTACTCAAAACTAGCCTCTGGAGAATGGCTTTTTTTTGTTATCGTTTTAGTTTTAAAATTTGAACATCTACTGTTGTGATCTAGAAAAATTAATGTAGAACAGCCCAAATTAGTCACTCCAAGCACCTTTTGGTCAAAAGGCAGGGTACAATTTTTAATTAGCATAAAATAATTATCAATCAATTTAAAATCATGCAAACCCACCATATTTAGCAGTATTTCTCAACCTCAGCAAGTTTAAGATATGTGGATTTCAACTCCCAGAATTCCCCAGCCATGAATTACCCCAACCCCACCTCCCCCCAATGCTGGCTGAGGAATTCAGGGAGTTGAATTCCACAGTTCTTAAAGTTGCTGAGATTGAGAAACACTGATATATAGGAAGTGATCAAGTTCTTTTGAAACAATGAAATCAACCACCACATCTACTGACATGTTTAAAAAAAAAAAAAATCCAAGATGGGAACAATTAGCTCTTAGCTCATCTCTTTGAGAGAAATTAGCCTGCTGCTTTATAAAAAGTAAAGACTCCCTCCAGTGACTAAATGTATGCATCCATGTCATTCCCTTTAACAATACAGAAGTGGTATCCCTTTGCTTTGTTCTGGGACTTTTAAAAATTCCAGTCTAGTCTACAACCTTAGAATTCCTGGTAGTCTCCCAACCAAGTAGTTCTACTTAGTTTCCACCAACAGTCAACATCAACAAAGTGCTGTTGAGCAACAGACCAGGATACTTGAATGTGGAACGTGGGGTCTTCCTGAACTTCAACTCTGAGCATCCCTTACCACTGGCCATACTACCTATAAGTGCTCACAACTGTAGTTTGGCAACATCTGGTAAGCTACAAATTTCTTCCAGATGTATTGAATCAGAATCCCATCACTGCTATGATGAAGTGAGCCAACCTAGGCTGATCTAGAAGGCTAAGCAGGGTCAGAAATCTGGGAAGTCAAAAAATATCCTGGAAGACAGCAATGGCAGACCACTTGCATACTGCTGCTAAGACAACGGCATGGACATATCATGAAGCCACCAGAAACTGAGTTCAACTTCCAGGTGACTTTTTAGTCTGACCTATCTAGAAGTAATATGTTTGGTGGCAAGCTTAGCCAGGGATTGGAGGCACCATTTTACATTGGTTTTATTTTAATTTTAAATGACCAGCCAGAACACAAAGCAAGAATGGGCAACCACTGCCCTATCTCATCGAATTGTCTCATTACAAACATTGTTACTCTTAACATCTAACAGGTCTCAGAATCATGTAATTTTGGTATGACTGTACCAACTGGGAATTCTAAACGTTGTAATCTCAAATCCCACCCGGTTTACAATAGTAACATCAATGCACCAAGTTTGCTTCAAGAGCATCCAGCAAGTCATATATCTGCAGAGGACCAACAATCTTTCTCCAAAAGCTTCAGGAAGAAATCAGAACACAAACATAAACAGATCTTCAAGAAGCTACTACCAACTGCCTCTGACAATTCCCCACCATGTCGTAAAGGAGTTCCAAATACTAACGTTAACATCAACATGTAATGTTTTGTTCATGGCATTTCTTCAGAAAAAGAAGGTACCTGAAAGAACTACTACACAGGACTGAGTAAGGACTTTTTTTTAAAAGTTAGTTTTAAAATATGCAGGGAGAAAGAAGTGAGAAGCAAGTAGAGTCCCCCTCTTAGATTAAAATCTTACCTGTTTTTGTTGCTTGTGTTTGTGGAAGTCATCTCGAGAATTCTGTGCAAATCAGCTCATCTTGAAAAGAAGAAATAATTATCAGCCATCAACTGAGGATGCACCTTTCTAAAGAAGACCATCCTATTTATACACTGCTTTTAAATTACAATGTCATTTCTCCTATCCAATTTACTATTTTCAACAGCAATGATCTGGAAGAACATAGATCAACTTACTGTACCTAAATATTGCAGAGCTTTTAAACTATTTCTCTTTCATATTTCATCCTCAAAGGTTTCTGAGGACATATTTAAGGAGGCTCCTTATAATCTGAAAGGCCGTGCCCTTTACAGTCACAGTGAAATTTAGTTTAGACCAAATAGCCTGATCCTCTTTGTGGAAGAAAGAGAGCTCCCCTCTTTGGTTAATAACGCTCATTTGGGCCAATTGCTTTATTTACTCAACAAGAATACCGTGTTTTCTTCCAAATAAATACCTGCGGGGAGGGGGCCCTACAAACACAAAAAGGAGGTAGAAATAGCAGCCAAGATCTTGCTGAAAAGCCTGGTTACCTTTGAAGATTAGTTGTGGCATCAGTGGGTGAGGGAACTGCTCATGCAAAGTGATTTAATTGTTACATCTGAGAGCTTTTCCTGGTTCTGTTACCTCTCCCTTATGCTTCCCCTCAGTCCAGTTTTGCCCTCTTTCTCTTTGCCCTTCCCTTCTTACACCATCCCCAACCTAGTTTTCTTCTTTTTTCTGTTTCTGCTGGAAGCAAAGAGGAGAATGTATGTAAGTCATACTTGTCACCATGTGTAAGCTAGTAGTATGATGCCATGAGACAAAACAATGGGTATATGCAGAGGATCAGTTGTTTCAATGGGGAAACATCATTGTACATGCAATTAAATGCACCCACATATACATGTATGTACAATGTAGGCCCTTGCCCGCTGTGCATATCTGGAATATCCCTAAGCGACAGCAGAAAGATCCTGCAAACCCCTTACCACCATATAATGGCCACTTGGATTTTTGCAGCCCTATCTAAAGTCATGTTGTTCTTAAGTACTGTCAGAAATGAAAAGAGCAGTTGTTCCCTTGGATAGTCTAAGGTTTGTTCTCATACCTGTGGCCATCCAGATTGTGGAGAATGCAGTTCAGATATGGATTTTTGCAGCTCAAATATGGTAGACTTACCTTTTTTGGGCTGTGGCTTCTGGCAAAGAAACAAACATATACACATATGCATTCGTAGGTATAACAGAAAGTGTACCACATGCACACATTTACTGGTACGACTGTGCCAGATGGGAATTCTAAAAGTTGCAATATTGGGGTGTGTTTGTGTCTGGTTTCAGGTACAGTGGGTAAACTAAGCTGTGAAAGCTAGGCACAGGGTGCACACATACATATGCATACACATGCATAAACATATACATAGAATACCATGGACAGGCAAGAAAATAAACAAATGGATTATAGAAAAAATCAATCCAGATACTCACTCGAAGCACAAATGATCAGGTTCAAATTATCACATTTTGGACACATTATGTGAATACTCAGCTCCCTTGAGAAGTCCATAATGCTAGGAAAGGTGGAAAGAACGAGAAGACAACGACAACCAATTGCAAGGTGGATCAACTCAATTACAGTGTTGATGAATGGACCACTGGAAGATCTGAGTCAACATCAACTTGATGTCTATTTCTATGTCTCACAGGTTGATTAAGAAATATCAGAAGAAATGGAAAGCAGAGGAAGGATTCAAGTAAATATTAGCAAAACAAACAGTGGGAACTTCAGACATGTTGTTTCTTCCCCAGCAGTACAAATGGACTTTTTTCCATCCTCCTGAATACACGCCACATACTGTCTCACAGTCATCTTCAGTGTTTTAAGAGTGCCAAAATGCCAGAGGCTTCCTCCACAGCACAGCATAGGAGGTTTGCTCTTTTTCAAGTGGTTTTCTAAAACCCAGCATTACTTTCCCCAGTAGCCTTTAAGTCTAGAAAGTTTACATCACTGTTGCTCAAAATACTTACTAAGTAGAAATATATTACAGTCAACTTCCTTGAGAAATCCCTATAAACTCCTTCCTTCCTTCCTTCCTTCCTTCCTTCCTTCCTTCCTTCCTTCCTTCCTTCCTTCCTTCCTTCCTTCCTTCCTT